TATGCACCCCATACCTAGTGCCTCACCACAGGGAAGGGGTCACATCTGATTCAAACCGTGTTGCAAGGGTTTCTTCTTTTCTCTCCCTGCACCCCACATGCTGCATCCAAATCCCACATTTTTTCCCAAGAATCGGTCCGAGGGGTCACAGAGATCCCAATGGTTAAATAAAGATGTCACAGTCTAGATCAGATGCTCCTCTCCCTATTACAAAAGGGTTCGAGGTGGCGGATTCAAGCTTGATACTCCTTACCACTTGAGCTCTCCCCACAGTAACGTCTGAGGACCAAGCTACACAGGCAGATCTGTGCCTTTAAATGCAAGTCTGCCCCATCATCTGTGCCCCAGAAGTCCATACAGCTTCAGGGATTGCAATGAGAGCACCAGCGCCTCCCCTTTGCTTAGATTGTGCCACTGTAACACCACCCCAGATTGTTCCTTAATTATATAATGGGACTAGCTACTTCCAAAGATCTAAATGTTTATAAATCTTAGGGAAGTTATTGCTTTTTTCAAGATGGTGTACATGTCAAATGGCCAAAGAAGAAGAATGGGAGCCAATTATTTTGCTCCCATTCAGCCATGTTTTGAGATTCTGAAAATACATCAAGAAGGAACAGTGATTTCCTCCCTACGAATTTTGTACAGTTTCTGCATGAGGAGCTGCCCCTCCCCTGATAGGAAGATACAATGGTTTGACAATGTGGATAAAAAATTCAATTTAATTAACTTCAGAGGATAAACTCTGTGGCTAAGAGCTGTCTTGCAAGTTCAGTCACAGTCACAAATGCTTTAGAACTGCATTTGCTAAATCAAGGCATCCTCTATGGACATATTTCATGGAGCTTCACTGTGCTAGTGTGGCTTGCTAATCAAATAAAGATGTAGGAATTTGGAATGCTTTGCACATTACTAATCTGTAGTTCAAGGCATGGAATAAAAAGCAAATATCAATAAGCTCAGCATATTCCTGAGAGTCTTAAAATTGAGAAGATTGCTTAATTGGCACTCCCCTACTGCTAACAGAAATATGCCAATTAAAAGGATTCTGCTATACTCATTAAGGGATTAGAGAGCATTAATGTCATACTAACCCTCTGCTACATTATCTTTATTCTGTTCCTCTAAGAGTAGCTAAAAAATAAAACAGGTGATCCTGAAATTATAGCTCCTCCAAACTATATAATGTACTTTCTATGTTACACAACTTCACAATGCAATGAACTAATACATAGGTTAAAACCGTACCAGATCAGATTTCATTAAGACGTTAACACACAGTAAAATCTTGTAATCTAACATAATTCATACAACCCAGTCTAACTAAAAAGAAGCTGCCATTTTTGCATTCAAATTCAAACACTTGAAGAGGAAGACATTAGGATTTTAAACAGGCCAACAGGCCAAGATATATATAGAAATTTTAAAACACCTTTCAAATTTATACACACCCTCAGTTTCAGTTTAAGCTTATTGTTCTGGGGAGGGGAAATCAATTTTATTTGAAAATGTGTGTTCATTTCCTCTACCTAGTTTCTGCTTGCAATGCAGAATCTTTTTTCCTGCAGATATGAATGTGTGTTGCTTTCTACAATTCAGACATAGATCACAGAATTGTAGGGTTCTTATCTAAATGTTATTATCTAAAATACTAAAGAAAGAAGTTTCTCTCCCATCCGTCAATGAGGAGTGAATTCTGATGCTGTCATTTTAGAATACAACAGAAAACATTAACAGCCCAAACTGGCATTGGGGGTCTTCAAATGTCTAAGAACAGTGGACTTGACTACTGTCTCAGCCCAGCACTTACGCGTACACAGCTACCTCATATTCAGGATTACTATTGCACAAACAAAACCAGGAAAATAAAGAGAATATATCTAAGAAATGTAAGTCTAAGAGATACTTGTTCACTGTGCTAATAAAGCAATAAAAGGTTGTTGTTGTTTTTTAAATGAAAGACTAGAAGACTCTGCATATGCTTAAATTACCAGGTAAGCCCAGCTACAGAACCTGGGAAATCCTGACTGACTAGAAATGTATTACAAAGCCCTGGGGGAATGGGCAAGGGAATGAGTTTTATTACAGGTCGCTCCCACAGGGATTTCAAATCGCATCTGACACTGCACAATTCACCTGACTTTGGAAGCACTATGGGAAACGCCTTACAAACTCTAGCTGTGTGTCACTTGGGCAGGGGTGGGGTTAAAGCTAGAGGAAGGGGCAAGAACAAAAGAGCTTCACAGGAGGATGGGGTAGTAAACAAGCAGGCCTACAGGTACTTTATTTTCTTCAAAAATGGTCATTTGTAAGACAATTCATGAAGAGACATTCCTATTACTGTGAGGGTCTAGAGACTGGTCCCATAGACTTCTATGGGCAGAGGCCAACAGCATCTGTGGTTAATCCTGACAACACAAGGAATAATTTTATTCTCCTCAAGTTAAGTGCCTGCTCAAAAACCTGTTGTAAATTTGAGATAGGATATTTGAAATGCAATCTGGGGGAAATGTATGGGTTAAGTTATTAAAGATCATACATATGTTTTGGAGGGGGGAAAAGAACAGTTTAAGTCTATCAGAAGGTTCTCCATCATTAAAAAAACAACCCTGCTGATTTGTATCTTTGTTGAGGAATCTCTTTACACACTGGCGATGTCAAGCAGAGCACAATTTGGGGACAGGATGGAAGGAGAGGTGTTTCCTTTGCTATAATCTCAATCACCTGGCTGTGTGTTGAAAATAAATATGTTAACACTTCAGGAACTCTGGCGAAAGACAGACAGTGAACATGGCCAACACTCCCTTTGCCCCCGTAATTCGGAGAAAACCAAGCATCAGTCCTACACCTGCGAATGAAAACAGATTCTAGGCTCAAGCATCTCTTTGACCAACTTCTGCCTAGGAGCAGGAATGGGTTCGTCGCTATTATCAACCTTTGTACCTGAATTGGCAGGATTTTCACTGTCAGCGAAGGTACCTTTCTGCCAAGGAGTTGGTCTGCGGGGAGCTGCAATAGGTTGTTTGAAGTGAGGAACAGAAGACGAGATGGAATCAGGAGAACTGTTCTTATGAGAATTATTCCAGATGTTTTCCTTGCCCAATTGATCTGACATTGTCTGTGCTCCTGTGGTATATGGCGGCTTATCAGATGGTGGAAGGGGTGCTCTTCTCTTCTTGCCCTTCCCTTCACTAGGGCTTATGGCCTCTTCTTTTGCTCCTGGAAGCAGGCTTTTCTGCACAAGCATGTGGTGAGAACCGTCAAACATGGCTGCCCATGAAGGTGGCAAATGTTCTTGTTGGCCAATCGGCAGCTCCCCATTGACTTCCTCAACTTTTCGTTGCACTGTATCAGGGAACGCTTCATGTTTTACTGGGGAATCAATGCCTATCACATTTTAAAAGACAACATAAAATTCTTATTACATTGATACTTAGCTGCATTGTTGAGCCCAGTGTTTAAACCTTACCACGACGATATAAAAACATGCACACCTTTATGGAAAACAAGACCCTAAAATTGTCCTGGGCAGCAGAAAGTCCTGTACTTTTACACATCAACAAAACACACACCATAATATTATGAACGCAGCCAATTATGGCTTTACTGTCCACTGTACAGCAGGCTTCATTAGGTGGAATACTTTACCTTGTAAAATCAGCAGCAGGAGGTTAAACTATTGTGGATCTTCATTAATTTTTACTGAATTCTTAGCACTGTCCAGGGAGCAAGGAGATTATATTGAATGCCAGTGCCTACCAAGAACCTCCTTTCATTTTGAAGAGTATAAATGTGGTTTATTACTCGTTTTCTTTAAAAACTACAATGCAACTTTCATGCTGTACCTCCATATCTGACTCTTGATTTACTTGTGGCCACTTAAAACACTGTTCAAATATTACTCTGCTTCTAGACTGTTTCAATGCACAGCACAGTAATCAATATAACCATTTTTACAGCCTCAAGGGCAGGGGGTCAACAAACTGTTGCTGGGCTTGGGAGGAAACCATTATTTTCTACTGCTAGTCAGCTGCAAAGTCAATTTTATTCATAACATGTCCTAGAAGAGTAAGGTAATTTTAGACTGATCAGAAAGATGGTTCCAATCCCCTTACCAGCAGAGGCAAATGGGGTGTTCTTATAATACAGCTGGAATAGAAGCATCCAGAAACAATAATAATACTTCACATGTATATAACAACCCAAATGAGGGATCAGACAATGGGAGAGAATGCCTTGCCTACAACACCCCAGTGAGGATTCAAATGATAAGAAAGGAGATTCCAACTAAACATGAGGAAGAACTTTCTAGCATTAAGAGCTGTCCACCAGTGGAACAGTTTACCTTAGAAGGTGGTGGATCCTCCTTCACTGGAAGTTTTTAAACAGAGATTGGATGGCCATCTGTCTGGGATTCTTGACCTGTGATTTCTGCATTGCAGGAGTTTGGACCAGATGGCCCTTGGGATCACTTCCAACTCTATAACTCTATGATTGTATGAGTGAAGGCGGACATGGAATTCAAACCAGGAACCCCCAATTTATCGCACAGCATCTTAGCCACTCTGCTTCTCAGGTCTGTGCTCGGTCAAGATGGATCTAACCAGTTGCAACATTATACATAGTAAACTAGAGAACAAGAAATTTACCAAACTGCAGATATCATACAAAATTATCAGTTACTGCCAAATAGTTATCCAGCCTAAGAACAACAGGACTTACTATCAGTTAATTGTGCACAGGGTTGAACTGAGTGGGGCAGCCCTGTGTGCAGCCACAAAATCTGCTCCCGAGGTTTGGAGAACCCCATGAGAACAGATTTTGGAAACATGTAGAGGGCTCGGGTGGGGGAATAAGGTTGGATTCCCCCTGCACTGGGGGGTGGGGAATGAGAGTTATGCAAGAACAGAAATTGATTCAACCTCCACACAGATTATAAAACAGAGGCACAATAGGTTGTGTCCAGTGTTGCTTCAAATACCCTGCTATCTCCCACTTACTCATATCTTGGTAAACTGAAGTAGCCTCTTTCGTCAAGAACAATGGTGGTTTCCGTGGTGACATAATTTCAATTTTCATGAATTCTTCACAACAGTGTTTCCACTGGCCTAAAAGGAAATCAGAAAGCAATGAGAGGAAGTCAAAATACTCCACTTTTTGTAATTTTATCTGGTTAATAATGCCCCAAATCGGGAACTGTTTCATAAATGCTGAATTAACTCTTTTACAATTCCTCCAGATTGCTAGCTGACGAAGATCTGGATGCTTCCAATAATGCCATAATCTCTCAAGCAAGTACTATACCTTTGCAGTGGCAAAGTAAGCTAGGATTTCTCAGGCTTCCAACATGGGAACAAGACAATCAATTCTCACAGCATGACCAAGTCCCAATCTTTACAATTTATACCTTAATACTGTTACTGTCAGATATTTCAGCTTGACATAAATATTCATTTATTTTATTGCAAATCACTGTGATGGAAGGGGAAGAAGAGGCGCACTGAAACCTCAGTAGAAGGCTCTGCTCAGCAGTATAAACAGTTATGAGATGTATTTGGGGAAGGGAGGAACACATAGGAAACTTTTATACCACCCCGCTGAAACATTTCCCCAATAGATGGTTTCCCAATCGTCTTCTTTCCAAGCCTCCAGAATATCAAGGGAATAAAGCAATGAAGGATCAGATTATCAAAGTTAAAAGATTTCCTGCTCTTCCTCTGAAGAACATACTACCTAATGTGCTGGAGAACAGAGAGCTTTTTTATTTTATTCTACTTGCAAATGACAGGATTGTTATGCAATGTGAGTTCAAAATGTTCAGTGCATTCTTTGAACATGCATAGGCACTCCTGTACAAAAGGAGACGGCGCCACTTACTGAAATCATAGAAGTGCTGCCAGAAAGCTTCCATCCAGTTATAAAGGTCTTCCCGGCTTTCAACTGCAAAAATCTGAGTCACAGTTTCACCAGCCTCAGGGTTGATAACAGAAAAGTTATTGGAGTTTATCGGGGTATCTTTATCCACAGCACGAATTCTGGTTTCCTAAATGTTATATAAATACAGAGTGAAACTATAATGTTCTCTCTCTCTCTCTCTCTCTCTCTCTCTCACACACACACACACACACACACACACACTACAACTTTAATCAAATAGAAAAATCATAGGTTACTTGACAGTTGTTTAGTTCCATGACTGCAATTTTCAAGGTGATGTTATATGGACATTAATTCTGCTTAAAGAAGAACTCAAATTAAAAAGGTATGCATTAAAGTAAGCATATTTAGAACATATTTCATAATGGGCAGGAGGAGACATCATTTGGATGGTTCTAAACAGGATTGCTTTTTAGATTGCTCAGATTCAGAAAATTGAGGCATATTTCATATCAGTTAAATTAAGAGAGTAAGAGAAATCATTCGGTATCAATTAAAGTGATATCTGTTGCTGACCTGATTGAATTATCATATTGACAAACTTTCCCCAAGTAACATGTACGATGTTCCTATCTACTCACTGGCATATCCTTGAACTACTCTGTCTTCATGTCTTGTACTTGTTAAGAACACCAATACCAGTTTCACCTCCTGAACTGGCTTCAGCGCTATTTTAAACATATATTGCAGCAACAATGGAGAAACTGGAGCTCTTTAAACTGGCCAATACACCTACAAGTCTAACTGCATTGTTGCAACCCAATTTTCTGTGATTTCCAAAAGTAGGTCTGTCAACCAAGAGATTTGAGATGTCAGTTAGAGCTCCTCTTCCCCCCTTCTTTGCAATCAGTTACATTTTGCAATGACAGGTTTATTCAAGAGAAACTGACTAAATCCAAAGAGGTACATAAACTGAGTAGTATCCAGAGAAGCATTGGGGGGGGGGGGAGTCCATTTGCACAGTTAAGTTTATTGCTTAATCCATTTCTTCTGCAGCTCATTCTATCACCTGAAAAGCCACTCTTGAGAATGTGAGTGGAGCGGGCCAGCTCCGTTTGCACTCTGGATTTCAGTCACTGTTTAGACCAGGAGTGGCTAACCTGTGGCCCTCCAGATGCTGCTGAACTACAACTCCTATCATCCCCAACCATTGCCCATACTGGAGTTCGACAACACTTGGAGGGTCACAGATTGTTTAAAGCTATAAAACATTTTCCCACAGAAGTTACCCAGCTTGCCTGGACACATTTTCCATTACCAGCTCCTTTACAACTGGAACACCATCTGTGATAATGCTCTTTACAATGTACTGCAAGAACTGTTTGCACCCACTTGGACCTGCCCAGGTGTTCTCCAAGGGTTCCATTGTGAGTTCCCCTACTGTCGGAGGCAAGGCAGGTGGGGCCTTTCAGTGATGAGGCCTCCATCTTCAGAGTGGCAGTTACTATTGCTCTTTCAGTGCCAGGTAAAATATCTTTTTATGTATGCAGGCTTTTTAGATGTTGTTTGAACTAGCAGCTTTTACTTTTACTTGGCTCTGGTTTTGCTATTTTACAATTAGTTAGTGTATTTCTGGTTACAATATTTTTAATCTTTGATCTGTGAGCTGCTCTGGGAATAGCTGTGTGGTGGCACAGATGAAGGCTAAAATAGAATTACCTGAATTAAAAAAACAACCCACCACCCTAATCATGCAGGTGAGAGCTGATAATATGGACCCCAACCCTGGAGTCTGCATTGATTTTGTGGTTTGGGCTGACATGATCAGACCTTGCCCACGCAGCTGGGCCATTTAAACATTACCCAAGATTCTCACAGAAAGGCAGTGCTCTTATGCAGCCAGTGTGACCTTCACATACAGTTAAGAACACACCTTTAAAAGACAACTCCTGCAGCCAAGCTGGTGCCAAATATATTGCTCTACTTTCCTTTGGACCACATCAGTAAGGGTGAGGGGTGGGTCTTGTCATCTGGACAGGCCAGGACCTCCAAGCACACTGCTCAGGCTTACACCCCAGGGAGTTCACTTCAGTGCTGCTAATGCACGGTTGGACTTCACCCCCAGGGGCACACTCCATTGTCTCTTGAGACGCACGAATGCCAACAGTTATTCTGATTAAGTGATGCATGCTTTGAGACCTATTTAAAATTAGGTTGCAATTCCACAAATGGTTTCACGTGCCCAATACCCCATTGATCGCAATCGAATTTACCACATTGAATTGAACAAGACTGCAACCTAATTATCTCAGCCACATACAAATTTTTTTGGGTAATTCATGTCATCCAACTATCTCACCATTGCAAAACAAAAATAAACCTTCTTCACAAGAAGACAGACGTTAAACCCATCTCTTTATAAAGCCAAGAAACCTACTACTGTAGTTATATAGACAGGAGGACTTCTCTGTTCTTATTTAATCCCATTTCACTTCAAACACACATCTACACATCCCCTTTTCTGTGGAATGTCTGTCAGTTCACACCAGTAAAGATTAAATATGTAACTAGGAAAAGTAAGTTGCATATATTGTCATGGGGGTAGGGGTGCGGAATTCCAGGGCTGACAAGTCTTTGAAAAATCTGCAAAATATTATTGATGGGGTACATTTTAAAAAATACCGGAGGAGCTGTTTGAAATACAAACACAGCTGTTTGTAGCATATCTGATGAATTTGCTCATTTAAATTTTTCATTCTAAAAATAGGAGATTAAGTAATTCATCCATAAATGCTGTGTCCTATTAATGCAGGTAACCATAGATACCAGTATAAAATTAAGTCAAATAGATTTACATTTGACAGGTTAGAACTTGAAGTAACCCAGTGACATAAGTTCATTTAGTGTTTGCTATGTATCTTATGCCGCAAATGCATTTATAAAACAAAAGTGATTCTCAAGTAAGAGACATTTTATACTTCATTTGATTATTTAAGTGATGGAAGATGCTAACTTCAGCAGTAATAGGTCGGTATGTTTCTGAAGCGGTAATACATTATGCAACAGATGGGATGTATCCAAGAAACTGCATATTAAGCATGCTATTTAAAGTGCCCACAAGCTCTCTCCAGCATAACATGCAGGTCTAAATGTACTGTCAGTCCTTTGACACAGTACTGTCCCCACTTTTGACTAAGAAATAGTGAATACACTTGTCTCTCAGAGACTAAACAAACAGCTTAAGGTGTGGCAGTGTATGCTAGGTCTTTCAATTAAGTGGAGACTGAGGTTGCAATCCTAAACTCACTGACTGGGGAGTAAGCCCCATTGAACAAAGTGGACTTGCTTCTGAAGAAATGTGAATAGATTTGATCAACCAGTACTCTGCAAAATTTATGGAAGTCAATAACTTATTAGCTCCTTGGATTAAACATCTTGAAAGATGTTGCTCAATCTATAGTTTAGTTATCTGCCCTCACATGGTTCACTCAGGCAGGATATTCTAGCACAGAGGTTTCCAATTATACCACCTCAGTACTGGAAAGTTGCTGTGTTCAGGTCCTACCATTCACACTTACCTAGCAGTAGTATGGGTGCTGCTTCCCTGAAACCTCTTCCTATAGCACTTTAGGACAGGTTGAATATAGAAACCACACGAGTGAACCAACTGCACGGTTCTTTCCCACAATTAGTGAAGGAAGGAAGCATGTAGTCTGCCCCATTCCTATCTAAATCATCTCTCCTAGATACACATGAATAGATATGTATGATGCCTTCCAGTATCCTGTTGGTTACTGGTGTATGAGAAAAAGAAAGAAAGAAAGAAAGAAAGAAAGAAAGAAAGAAAGAAAGAAAGAAAGAAAGAAAGAAAGAAAGAACTGAGCCAAAAACTAGGTTTTAAATTCTGTACTTAAGCATATGTGACATGGAGACAGTAGAGAATCTTCCTCATTTGTCTTTTGCATATACTTTTATCAGTGGTTCCCAACCTTTTTTTGGCCATGCCCCACCTAAGCATCTCCAAAATCCTGACACACACCCCCCCCCATGATATATAACTCTTATTATTCCAAAAGTGAACTCCTGTTCACGTGGAGGAAGCCTAAAAGGCCATTTAATGTTAATAACTCATTCTCAAATTGTCGCCCTTAAAAATCAAATTGCCCCCCCCCTGTGGGGCATGTTCCCTACATTGGGAACCATGGATTTATATAAAATATTTGGAGCCTTTATGACAGGGGGCACTCTCCCCATGGATCAAAAAAACAAAACTTGTATATGGCTGTACTATCAACGACCTAAAAAGCATCTTTGCATTAGTAGCAGAAAAAACACAAAACGAACTGTCAAAAAGAGCTGCAGTTATTGGTAACTGAGGTTCCAATTAGAGACTCAGAAACTGTGCCCCTGAAGCTTTCATGCAATGCTACCCTTAGCTCCCACACCTGGTATGGAAGGAACTCCATCACCTGAGACACAAATAGCATTTCCAGTTCAGCTTAACAACATACAAAAGGAGCACTGTAACTTAGCTTGAGTAGCAGATGTTATATTTTACCTTGTTGACAGAAACTGTCAAAGTCGGCTCCACTTTAGCTTCTATTTCTTCTGGTGTACAATAACAAAGGAGTTTGCCACCTCTCAGTACACAGTATAGTTTTCTCCATCCAGTCACATTCCCTATCTTTTGCTGTAAGAAAGCAAACATGTTTAGCATAAGTTTTACTTCCCAACGAACTATATTTTCTTTGGGGAATAATGAATGGTACACAATATGCATTAAGAAGAGACCTCTCAGCTGCTCAGATTGCGGAGTTGTCCGTATAATAATTTGAGAAGAAAATTTCACACAAGGGCTAAAGCAAATATCACTAAAGACTTACCTGGTCATCTCGTGATATTTCGTAATGATCTCAACAGTATCAATTATGCAAATAACTGTTTAGATGCAAATCTACCATTGTTAATGACAATATTTAGCTTTCTCTGGACTCAGCTAGAGTGGTAACGAAAAAGTGATTTATATGCATTGTATATGAAATATAACATTGTGCCACCTGATGGCGAAGTGGAGTCCTGTTTTTCTCTACCTGTTTTCCCTGTTTAAATTTACAACGCTTTAAACTGAAACACTTCTTTGATGTGTCTAGATGCAGCTTCTTTCTATAAATAAATTATATATACACATTTCCATTTTATGTTATTTATCAATCCAGTCTGCTCTTCTGCATTGTGTATCTAAGTTCCAACATCCATTCACAAGGCATTTTAACAGCTGGAGATTACTCATTAGCTTATGTCTTAATAATTTAGGTAAAATAGCTTGTTTGAAAAAACTGGGCAACTAGGAATTTTCACAGACAATACTGAATGGCAATAAAGATGCAACATCTTTTATTCCATTAAGAGATCTTCAGAATTGAGAAGCAGTAATATCCCCCCTAAACAAAGTTAGTATAAAAACATGAGAGAGGGAAGTAAACACAAATGTTACTTGTGGCAACAAGAAGTCGTAAAAGGAACAGACACTTCTGTAAATAAGCCCATGAAACATCCATTAATTGGACATATTTAAGATTCCCAAATGATTAAATGCCCTTGCCTACCCAGTAATGGTGGGCAGCAAATTGATTCTGGGTAGAATAGGCCGCTGTTTTTATAGTCACAGATATCCCTTCCTCAATTTGCCAGTCACATTTCTGCTCTATTGATTATTAAGATCAGAGAATAATCTATCTTCCCCAGTCTCCATGGGCTCCCAAAATTCTTTGCATAATAAAATAATAATAATAATAATAATAATAATAATAATAATAATAATAATAATAATAATACACTCCACTGTGCAGGGGGTGAGTACAGCCGCTTCTGGGGCTAACTATATTTTTATGCATTACCTATAGGAAGGGTAATTCCATAGTGATCACTGTAATGATTGTAAGCTTCTTTACATAGTATTTTGCGGTTTAGTCAATATTATTTAACTCTTGGTAACATTAAACTATTTGTTAGTTAACTGCCTTGATCTTCCCTACAAAAGTACTGTAATCAAGGTGCATGTTTAAATGCTTTTTTGTTATTGCATTTCAAAACATGTAACAGTTTTGCAACCTGAAGAATTTATCTGTAACTCGGGTAAATGTTTTCTTTAAAAGTATGTATTAAAACATTTTTCCATCTACAGCAATACACATAAAGAGCTAACATTTTATGTGCAAGTGTCAAACTTATGGTGATGTTTATTGGAAACGGTGAAGAAAAGGGAAATGACCTGTGGCCAACATAACGTGGCACATGTAGCATGTAACAATTCATTGATATACACACAAACATAAATTCCTCCAAAGTAAGACCCTGTGCATGTGATACTGGTCAGCATCAAGTCCACGTGGGAAGCTGTATTATTCAAGGTAATGTACACTTAGCTATGGCAACACCCTAATGATTTGTTTCTTTTCAACCCAGTGTTTATCATTGTAGTTATGTCACAGAAGTCCCCATTTTTTTAAAAAAAGAGGATTTCACATCAATGAATATAATACTGCATCACCTGACTAACAAATTTTCCTTCCAATCTTCCAGTCTCAACCTCAACAATGACACAATTGCCAACTGACACCAGTAAGTCAGGGGCCATTTTTGCTTCTGCATTTTATTTCAGCATAATCATTTTCCTATACGGATATTATTGCCCATGCTTGTGGTGTTTATTTTAAATCATGCTAAAATTCATTTACATTTTGTGTTCAAGGCTGCCTTCAACATTTTACAGGGTTGTACTGTTCCCTAGGGCGATGCAAGAGACCTTTAGCTCTTGAGGTGAATTTTTGTATCTGTGCATGTTCTAACCAATATTTTAATGCGGGGGGAATGCAGCTTCGACTTAAAAGACTGATGCAATGCATTACAAGTTTGCCTAGCTAAAACTGAACATTGCAATTCAATTCTTAACCTTGTGTATGTTTACATCAACCATGTGTGTGTGTGTGTGTGTGTGTGTATAAAATAAAAATACAATTTACCTGTTGACTAAGAAATCCAGTCATCATATCCTTGGTCATGCAGTATGGTTGGGCAATTAGACGACAACACAGGCTGCCATACAATGGAAGCCAAAAAGAAGATTCCTCTAAAAAGAAAGTCATGACCATTGCATATTGTTAGATTAGTCATTACTCAATAGGAATTATTTTTTTACCAATAGTTGATTACAAGACATGGAACAAAGACTGGAGCCAGCATTTGAATTTATTACACTACAGGATGAGATCTCCATCGCACAGGACTAGAGAGAACCAAAGAACAGTAGACCGCTTTGGACAACAAAGATTTCTTTGCCAAAAACAGCAAAGAGAAGGTCAATTGCCTAGTGCATCCAACAACATGACAAAAACAGCACAGCTGAATCCACCCTCAGTTTATACTCTTGTTTCTTCAACATGATCTTAAGCGATCATCACCTCATCATACATTTCATTTACCAAACAAATTCTCATTCCTTCCACCTCCTCATACAAAAGTCAGCTCGAGAGAGTTGCTGGTCAGCTGCTGAATGCAGAAGCTGCTGAATGTAGAAGCTGACTTAGGCATCCAAAATAAAAAACAGAAGGAAAAAGGGAAGAATTTTGCGGCTTAATAAGTGTGTTAGATTGCAAGGGCACTGTTCTGCTGTACAGGAATCCGGAGTAATTTGCTATGCATGTCCACAATTGTTCTAAGACTGTGAACCAGAACTCACATGGGTTATATTTTCAGTGGCACTTTCATCCAGTATACATGACTAGAAATGCCAATATATTTTTTAAAAAACACGCACCATGTAAACAGGTTTCATCTACTGCAGGAGAATTATATACATAAAAACACGGGGGGTGGGGGTGGCAGCATGGGCATTTATCTCACCTTTCCTAGTAGCATCTGTCTGCCCCATACAAATGCTGCTTTTACAACTCGTTCCAGGTTCTGGACCTCATACTCACTTGCCTCCAACTGCAACACTGTCTACTTAGCAAAGTGGGTCTTAGTTTTGAGTGAATGTGCATTGGACAGAGATTTGGGGAAATTACAAGAGGTAGTTCGGGAGGCAGGGGGGACTATCCATCAAAAGTGTGAATTCTTTCCTTCCAAATGCTGTTAAGATAGCAGGGAGAAAAGCTATCTTCATACAGTTTGTAAGGTTTGGCAGAACATGAGGCAAGGAAAACAATCGCTACATTTGAGTACTTTGAAATCAAGTTGGAATATTCTACTCATACATCATTTATCTTGTTGACTCTGAACTTACCATCTCCCACGGCAGTAAGGTTGTGGGTCCTGAAATTGTTGTTGACACTCTCCAATCCCAAAGATGCATGTGCCAGCAAATTGTATTTTGCACCCCTGGTAAAGATAGGTTTATTTCAGTATTGTGCACAAAAAATCGAAGTTCAGTTAATTCAAAAGCAGCTGTATTTTTTATCTTTGCTCCTTATTATATTTAAAGTACATTTTGGAAACTGTGCTCACTAGACTTGGGTGCATACATGTAGTAACACTGCTCCATTGTGTGAACTGGGAGCCCCCTTTCTGGAATGGAGTTTGGTTTCTTTAATTTCTGAAGGCCCCTGGGCCCACCACTATTTCAATTAGAAATGTATTTCTTACAGCTATAAACACTGATTGCCTTACAAGAAACCTGTTTTTTCCTTTCACTTTGGCTGCTGTTTGAGCCCATTATACACTCCAGCTCTCCCTATATGCTGCTGCAAGGTTATAGGTTTCATCCTACTTTGCTCTGAAGGGGATTCCCCTTTTAGGAACACACTAGACATGGCCTTCAGCACATATATTTGTGTGGCATATCTGCTTTTTGATTAATAAATAGCTGGCTTGTCCGGGGATGGGGGGCAGACAAGGCTGGAACTGTGGTGTAGGGTGGGAATCAAGGGGCCTCACACCTTCTGGTTCATTGAGAGAAAAGCTCCTGGTTACACCCAAAGGAGTTCAGACCTTCCAAGTATCTCTATTTTCCAGGGACATCCCTGATTTAGAGACGCCATCCAGGTTTCTGATTTAATCCCGGAATGTCCAACTTTTCCTTAGGATGTCCCTATTTTCACTGGAGAAATGTTGGAGGATATGGAGCTATCCAACCCCCAAGCCGTCTGAAGGCAATCCTGTATAGGGAAGTTTTTATGTTTAATTATGGCTTTATGTATGTTGGAAGCTGCCCAGAGCGGCTGGGGCGACCCAGTAAGATGTGTGGGGTATAAACAGTAAAATTATCATTATGGAATGGGACGTCCCTGTTTTCATTGGAGAAATGTTGGAGGGTATGGGAGTTTTCCTTCCATTGTAAATACTGGGCATGGAAAAAATTCTGACCAGGACTGCAGCAGGGCAAGTGTTAAAGCCCTCGCCCATGAGACAGTCACACACTCACACACTATTTGTCAAACAAAAAATAACTACACAACATAAACCTATTTAATAAAATAGTTTGGCCCTTGGCACCTATACATACTCCACAAATATCAGGTGGCAGCCATAGTGAATGTACAGCTTTTGGAGGTAGCTGCGGATAACAATATTATTTTTAAATAATAATAGTTAGTTAATTGACGTGTACCCCACCCTTCGTCCCAAAGGAGCCCAGGGTGGCAATCACCTTTCTATCATTGTCTAATTTTAGGTAATTGTATTTGCTAACCCAATGAACATTAAAATTTCATTGCCTCCTCTCATCTGATATCCATACAAAGAGGCTGCTTTAAGTTTTAAAGTGCTTTGTGGTTTGTCTTAGCAACAGTATAATTTGGGTAACAGCTGAAAAAGCTCCACTTCCTCTGAACAGCTCAGTAATCTGTTTTTGCACCTCTAAGGTCTCCCCCTCCCACCCCAAGAGTTGTTGTCATAGGATAATGATTACATTTGTTTCACTCATTACACAGGATAAATACCATTGAAGTACAATTTCCATTAGCACATCAAGGGGAAAAATCTTTGAACAGCTGAAAACAAGGTGCTGGTTATAAATGGATTCCAACCAAAAGATTCTCAATCACTAGGCAAACACATAAAAGCCATCTGTAATTGAACATTTTTGTTCCATTTTAAATAGCTGAGTTTCTTATTACAGATGAAAATCTTTTTGTGCTGAATGTTCAAGTTAGAGATCCTTACTATTTATAGTACAAGGTTTGCCAAAGAAAACAGACTACTTCACTATTGAAATATGTTTCATAGTAACATTTTCCATCTAAAACATGAGATTCTCTCTTGTTTTGGCTAACTTCATTGTCTCATTTCCAAAATTGTTATCAGTTGCCAATTTCTTCATCTTTCAAATTTTATCAGTTTTCAAATTTAACAGGCTAATTAACACTGCTAGCAATGTTTTGCCTAAATGTTTGAATTAGATTATTGCCTTAAATGGAAGTATCTTTGCAGAAACTAGCCAACCACACTTGCTTGCATTAGAATATTTTGCACTTCCAAAGCTCTTTCTACAAGATGTTTTCAAAGCGTTTCGCTATCTATACATTAAAACTTATGATTTTTTTCCTGGCTCTGTCTTCAGTAGAATGGCAGCCTGTTCTTATCAGCACATTTGATACAAAACCTCAACCAGACTTACTAACAATACCATCTGCAGCATATATGTAAGTTGCTCAGTTATTCCTGCTACAAAAAAGTGTGTTCCAGAATATTCCTTTAATGTAATATCAGCTGATTCTTATCAGCTGATTCATTTGACCCACTTTTCCTAAATTTGAAAGCATTTTGCATATCTATTAATGCTACTCATTCAGCATACAAATGCTTTCATTCATTAGGTCATTTTTAAAAAATCATATATCACGATCTGATGCTGCGATTGCAACTATTTATTGTTATTGACATCCCTCTGTCTTGAGAGACAATGGCGTGCGCCTCTGGGGGCGAAGTCAAATAACTGCGATAGCAGCACCGAAGTGAGATTCCACAGTACATGTCTGGACAGTGTGTATGGGGGTCCTGGGCTGCCCAGATGACAAGCCCCTACTCTTGGTCTTGCTGATGTGGTCCAAAGGAAAGCAGGGCAATGCATTTGGCACCAGCTTGGCTGCAGGAGTTGCTGGAAGGAGGTGTATAAGGTGCTATCCAACTGTCTTAGAGACTCCATTCTGGATTTGTGTAGGATTTAGTCCTTAGCCTTTTCTTCTAAAAGTATCCCTCAAAGCAGTGGAGGTTTAGGATCAGAGGTTTCCTTCTCCTAGATGGACTACCTTCCCAGGTTGCTGAGCCCCATCTGCCCCTCACTTCCCTCTACAGCATTTGCAGAAACCGCCTTCTTGACTGTTGGACCCCCTATTGGTCTCATCCACTCAATCTGCTAAAGCCATGCAGAGGTAGTCCCTAACTCACTGAAGGCTTGAGAACTCACTATATTATACAACTATACCAGACATATAAACGTGTATAAGAATAGAGTGGCAGGATGTACCACAGAAACACCACACAATGATACAATGAACATATCAGGATAATAGATGTCTACTAAAAGGCATGACTTTAGTTTATCCTGGTGCAGGAAACACAGGAAGCTTCCTTATACCAAGTCAGAAAATAGGTCCCTCTAATTCAGTGTTGTCTACACTGAGTGGCAGTAGCTCTCCAGGGTTTCATAGCTACCTGCCCTACCTGGAGGTGTCAGAGATTGAACCTGGGACCTTCTGCATGCAAAGGAGACACTATCACTCCACCCCTGATGTAGTAATATTAGCACGAGTATCTGGAATGTCTGAGACTCCCCTGCGCTTCCCTTTTGCTGCTCTTAGCCTCCTCTGGTGGAGACACAGGGGAACCAGCTGTGAACTATCTAGCCTGGTGAAGAGACCCTATGTTCTCTGATTTATATTTAAGCCAGGCTGCTGTGGACCTTGAAGTGCTGCAATACCAGCACTTAAAGTGTAGATTAGCTGTTCTTTTTTGCCCCTTAATATACTTAAAGACCAAAATCAAAGTCTTTGTAACTTTGTAACTGTGCTTGTTGATGTTTGTCTTATTTGAACTTGATGATGTGCTTGGTAACAAACTATCCCCCCCTCCCAAGGTTACATGTAATTGTAAACTGATTTGGGCACAGCTTATGATGGAAAAGCAGTGTATAAATAATCAAAATTTTTCCATGACAATATTTTTGGCCTCATTAGTCCCTCCTCTTCCATCCTTTGGAGGAGGGAACCATAACTTAGTGGCAAAGCACAGGTTCTGAATGCAGAAGCTCCTAGGTTCAGTCCCTGGTATTCCCACTTAAAATGGTCAGGTACTGTAGTAGGTAATGTGAAACACTTTCTTTCCAGAGGTCTGAGAGAGCTGCTGCCAGCCAAGAAGAGACAAGACTGGACTAGATGGCCAGATAATTTGACCTAGCATAAGGTATTTGTATGTGTCCCTATTCATTCACCCCTCTCAGCCCAACATTCTGATTGAGGTGAGAAAGCAGCTCTGATAAGCTGGCAGAAATCAATCCCTTACTCACATCCCAGACAAATATAGGGAAAGTGTGTCTTGGCTAATGGAAACAGGCATCCTGTGGACAAACTAGCAGCCCCTGGCACTTTCCTCTTTTCTAATTTGGGAAGGTGGCTGCAGCTACAGAGATGCACATACCACTCCCCCCAGGCTGGAAGAAAGGTCAGACCAAACAATTGCAAAGATCTGATTGAACAATTGCCAAGATGTATCTTCTGCTGCTGAGAGATAGGCAGTCCAGATGCATTATGTGCTGCACTACACTAGAGTAGCCAAATTGCCTTATCCTGTGGCTCAGGGGACAGGCAGGAGCAGGAAAGGAAACTCCCAGGAAATTCAGATTTTTAGGAGCTGTTAAGATGTCAGTCTCTTAGCACTTGGTACATAGGCATGAATTCTATTCCCATACACTTTTAAATAAAGACCAACTGCTCCCAACCCCCAACCCCCCAATCCTAGGTTTAAATTAAAGAACAATTCACTCACACTACAGCTGCATCAGCAAGCAACAAGGATTCAGGGTTGCTGTCATCCAACACAGGGCTGAGTTTTTTCCCAGCAGCTTTCCCAATTGAGGTTTTCAACTTCTTTACTAGCTTCTTAGGAGTGTTTGTTATAGTTGAAGATTCTTCAGTACAGCAGCAACTGTAGACTTCAATCTTCAGCTGGAAGGCTGGGCCAGCTTCCTCACTAGAAACAATTGTTTCACAGCTTTTAGGAGAAGTACAATGTTCAAACAAAAATTTAGAATACTGTAAAATAAAATTACGGCTATTTATTTATTTTATGTCTCGGCTACTCTCCAGTGCATGCCTCCCATGCCAGAGTAAAATTTAAAACGAAACAATAAATCAAAGTACAGTCACAAAACCAGATTCTAAAAACTGTTATAAAACATGTTAAAAATGCCCAGGTATATAAAAGAATTAATTGCCTAGCACTGAAAAGGCATAAGCACTGGGGGCAAGCAAACGTCTCTGGGGAAGAAATCACAACAAGAAAAAGAAACCCTCTTTGGTGACCCTGCGTCTAACCTCAGATGGCTTTTTCATAATGGGGAAAGGGTTCGTGAAGGCTTGTGGGGAAAAAGACAACCCTTCAACCAGCATCAGCTAATAACAAAATCAAGTGGTTTTGAACACATTCAGCAATCTGATGCTCTCCAATGGGAAAAAAATACTTTGTACAGCTAAAGAAGACAAGAATAGATGTCTAAAAATTGAACCCATTGTATGTACCCAAGTTTTCAGGCTTCAATACAAGGTCATTTGCTGAGACAATGGACACTGAATCAGGATTTTTAAACCAATGGAATTAATTAACAGCTAGAGTGATAGTTTCAATAGGTATCTGCAATGCTTTTTGCCTCCCTGAACAGATGCATCTGAACACCTGTGCATATTCATGTAAACACATGTATATAAGCATGTATATACACAGGCTACAAGCTCTAACTAAGCAGCACCGTGGGGAGAGGGGAGAGCACCAGCAGCTCCTCACCAAATGGCAAGTTCATATTTTCAAATATTTTCAAATATTCCAAGCAGTATTCATAATGCAATTTCTTTAAGGCTTTGATTTGACAAGTTGAATGTTCTACTTTTCCCATTTTGCCTTCGGTGTAATAGAAGGGTTGTGTGATTGTTTTTGGATTTTTGTCTTCAGAAGAGTCTTTCATTCTTTTTAAACTTGCAACTTGGTGAGGCCCTGCAACTCTACATTGATCCAGAGATACTTACAATATGGTTGCACCTTCAAAGCATATATCTGTGATTGCTTTATCTACAATAAGCAAGTCTGTATCAAACACCTGAGTTCCTGCTTTGAGTAAGCAAAATACTGAGTAACGTTGGGTTCCTGAAAAAAGAAAATCCAAAAATACTTTTAAAAGACTTGCTATATTTATTTATTTTTTAAAATTGTTTATTGCAATTAAATAAAGAATTGAAGGTGTTTACGACAACTATAATACAATAAAAATCACACAAAAACTAAAACACTTCAGCAGCTAAATATTACAGAAAATGTTTTTCCTTAGTTGTCTGCATATGCCTGGCAGGCATATTGCACAATATCAAATTATTTCTATTAAAAAAAGATAGAGCAGTACAAGATGAAAATTTTATGAGGGGGGATTTATTTATTTTTTGCACGCAGCAGAAAGATGCAAAGGAGGGGAAGATTCAGCAGGTCACTGGATCTCGTCTTTAGTGTCCATATCTATATATTCAGCAGAACCTTTGCAGGTAAACCTTTAAGAATTTACACAATATAGCAGTTTCTATAACAAAAATGTTTATACCTGGACCAACACATTATCTTTGTTTCTTTAAAACTCATGGAAGTAATTTTTTCTGATAAACCTACTTCTTTTTTCTTTCTTTTACAAACTCGCATTAAAGAACTTGCATTAAAGAATGCACAATGAAGGATAAGAGTATTTTGCCATACTGAGCCTCTCTGACCTTACGGAAATTCAAAGTGAAATCTTTGGGGATGGTGGGGGAAGAGACAGTTTGAAAAGACTCAGGAGTTAATCTCCATGACACAGCAAACTGCATGCCTGCACGAAGCCAAGTCAATAATCCATCCAACAGGAGACAAAGTTTCATTTAGATACATTTCAATGTTTCAACTAGCAGGATTACTTTCTGTATCTTTATCAGATATTTCAGCTCTCCTACTACTGAATATGTGATAGCATCATACACTTCTGTCACTCTACACTCTTCCAAGCATTGCATATTTTAAGAACTATAGATTTCAAGTCAGCCTATTTCAAATAACTATGTTAGGTCTATTGCGAGGTCACATTACATGCCAAGTAAGAAGTAAATGCTGCACAATGCCCTCTTGCTCAAGAGATTGAGCCCTCCTGTTTAGTTGTACAAAACCATTTCACAAAACAAACATACTTACTGTCTCTGCTGCTGAAGTGATCAGAGCCTTTCCACATTAATGGAATTCGGAGATCTAAAAGCAAGCAGGAAAAAAATTAAACACGGTGGCATCATGATGCTATCCCAATACAATCCAAAAATTCAGAATTGTTTCTTTTAATCCTTATCTGCGACAAAAGTCAAGCACACTGTATCCAGCAGCCTGCCTAATCAATCATCAATGATACTGTTCAATTATCATAGACTTCCCTTTGGCACAATTTCAGAAGAACATCAACTGAAAGGGCATTTTCAGTTAAGAAAAGTTTAGAATCTTATACAAATGTACCTAAAAATACAGTGGTACCTTGGTTCTCGAACTTAATCTGTTCCGGGAGTCCGCTCGACTCCCGAAACCATTCGAAAACCAAGGCGTGACTTCCAATTGGCTTCCAGCACTCAACCGGAAGCCATGGAAGCCACATCAGACGCTCGACTTCCAAAAAATATTTGCAAACCGGAACACTCACTTCCGGGTTTGTGGCTTTTGGGAGCTGATTTGTTCAGGAGGTACCACTTTACTTAGAAGTTGCAAGCTTTTATTTGTTTAAGTTAGTCCATTAGTCAGTCAATAGCGCTGATTTAGCTTGGGAATATCTCGGTGACAGATTGTTATTTCAGTGTGCCAGGTTCTTCTAAAGGACCATGGGCATCAGTGACGCAGAAGATCTTTGTCCAAAAGCTTGGTGAGCTACTGCCACAGAGAGTAAACAGCCCTAGGCTGGAAGAACCAGCAGTCTGATTCTGTAAGAACAAGTCCATAAAGGCACTTGGCTAGCTCAACGTAAGAAAGCACTTTTATTCAGAATCTCCCACTCCTTCCACCACGTCTCAAGGATGCTTGCAAAACAGTGAAATCATTCATTCGGCTAGATTTGGTTCGGTTTGGATAAAGCTCAAGAAGATTCTTCCATTCTTCTCCCAAGTCTCAAAAAGGGGGGGGGGTCCCTTTAGCCAGTGTGGTGTAGTGGTTAAGAGTGGTGGACTTGTAATCTGGTGAACCAGGTTCAATTCCCCGCTCCTCCACATGCAGCTGCTGGGTGACTTTGGGCTAGTCACACTTCTCTGAAGTCTCTCAGCCTCACTCACCTCACAGAGTGTTTGTTGTGGGGGAGGAAGGGAAAGGAGATTGTTAGCCACTTGGAGACTCCTTAGGGTAGTGATAAAGCGGGATATCAAATCCAAACTCTCCTTCTTCTTCCAGAGAAGCTTGCAAAGTCACAAGAGCCTAGCCACTTTGCAAACATCTCCACAGCTCAGCACTTACAGCTTAGAGGTAGGGGATTTGGTCAGAGGTTTGCTGCCACAGTTGTGGTGCGCTTCAGAGGCACAGGAGTGGATCTGAAATCTAACACGGCATCATCACATGGTTAGCGGCAGCCACAAATTTTGACTGGATACCAAGGCCAAATTATGTGGACCCTTGAATATGACAGTTCCTGTTATCTTCGAGGAAGATGCACCACACTATATTTTGAAATCACAGAAAAATCTTGTATGGAATATTTTACCTTTGTGTTGCCAACTAATAAGCAAAATGATTTGAACACCACAAGAGGTAGAAATTAGGAGACACTGACAAGCTGCATGTTTTTCCAACACCTTTGGAAAAAATTAGGATAAATTTGGCTTTAAAAGGAAGAGAAGCATCCAATAATCACAGGAAAAGAGTTGAGATGTAATGTTTTACACTGTTTACTAAAACTGGAACGGCAATTTATTAGAATAATTCATTTCCAGTTATGAGTAAAAATCAAAGTAACTTGGCTTTCAAATGATGCTTCATAAAGAGTTTGCAACATGCAGGAAAATGTGGAATGGCAGAAGTGAACAGCTTCATGTCAAAGAAGATTACATCTCAATCAATTTCATAAGCAGACATTCTTTGGCCTATGGTGCACATTATCGAAGCCTGCTATTTCAGCAATAAATCCCACTGGCAATGTATTCTCATGAGACTCTGCTTCAAAGCTTTCATAGCGTTTAATTGGCTATCCGTTTCTTGGAGTCACATTAATGTAACAAAATCCAACACTGAGGCAAGAATAAAATAGAACTTAAACTAAACAGATAAAAAGCTGGCAATAATAGATTTATTTTTAATAAAGGCAGAAGGTTATTTTCTTCAGAGCTTCACCAGAAAAAAATTACTGGTCAGACCAACTAATCACTTTATATAATTATATTCTGGCACACAGGCAAAGGTTTTGTAGTTTAGCCTGGCAAGTTGGAAAATTAGTGCTGCTGCTGCTGCTGTTATTTCCCCTCTACACAATTCACTTTTATGTTCTGGGTCTCCATAATTTTGCCTTTCACTGATTCTATTTCAATATTTCCATAGGTGAAAGCTCTTCTTTTGCTTTTCCTCTATTGGGGATCTGTTATTGGCTCCCTCAGTGATCTGTTCCTGGAGATCCCTGTTGTTGGCAAGGTGATGTCTCTGCTTTTTAAGATGCTGTCTAGGTTTGCCATCGCCTTTCTCCCAAGGACCTATCCTTCTGTAATCAGTAAAATGCCATGCACCATGGTGGTGTTATGTAAATAACAACAAGGAACAACAAGGTCCCTGTCCAACTGAGTTAACAATCTAGATTTAGACACTAGGACAGGTGTCTACAACAAAGATGCGGCAAACATAATTGGAACAATCTTTGAAGATACAAATACATATATTTAGGCTTTGAATTTGGAACTAAGGAGGTAAGCCAAAGGAGTCATGGATGAAGTAGGCCTTGAGAAGGTCTTCAATGACTAAAGCTGTTTGGGGAGCATATTCAAAGCATAGGCCGTAGTGAGGGGCAAGTCGTTAAAACAGGAGGCCTTCAGATGGGTGAGGATGATCAATTTAAAAGAGAGAACGTCACAGACCCCCTCTCCCCACTCACCTTTTTGAAAAACTAAGACTGTGATCCTACTCGCCAGTTAAATGCACCTTGCATTCTGTTTAAATTAATGAGCCTTATTTTCGGAGTATGCCAGTTTAGGACCAAGACATAGAAGTACAATTTAGAATGCAATACTTGTAATTTCACTGCTTATGCCACATCAGAAGTAATTTTCAAAACTACTCCTGCTTGGTTCTTATGCAGTTATATCCTCCAGTGATGAAGCTGGAAATGTATCCTTTATACAAGACAGTTACACAGTAAGGGTGATAAGGCCTTGAATATTATCTTAAATGCAATAAATGCATTTACTTTCCAAATGGATTTAGTTACAGAGTTACCCAAGGCTAGCCATTTCACACAGAGAGCATGCATTTCAGTGAAAAGACACTGCATTGCAATTTATATTGCATCAGCAAATTTTCAAGCACACCAACTGAAGGCTTTCAGAACATAATAATACCTGATATGGCAAGTCTCCCTCCACAAGCTTCACGGTCTTTAGCTGCAAAATCTGAACATCTGACAAAACAAAATAAAGATTATAATTAGATAAAGAAATGAATTTCTATCCACTTCTTTTCTTTCAAAATAAATTTGTCTGAGGTCAGATTATTGTGTATTCAGTTATGCTCAAGAGGGATCCACACATCAAAGTATTGTAACTCTAACCAAGCTATTAAAATTAAGCCACTTAGGGTTCAAAAATGACACATTTTTTGCATTTTCTAGGACACTGTAGCACATTCATAACTGTGCACATTAACACCCTCCCCCCTCCAAAATAGTTCTATCATATAAAATCTACTGGAACTTCTAAGTCTGGTTGAAACCAAACAAGTCTGGCAAACCACATTTGTACTCTTCTGCAACTTCCCATCTTTCAATGGCATTTGAACATAACTAGTACCTTGTGTCTTGGGCAAATTTCTCTAGGTATCCTCTTTTCTCATAACAGAAACTGGTGCAAGATGGACAGAGCAACAAAGTAAAACAATTTACTTCCTCCTTTGCTTCTGTACTGGACACACAGGAAAATGCAGAGGCATGATCACTCGGTCCTTTTGCCATGAACCCACTATGTCTCTTCACTAGATGTGCAAGAGACAATGCCCTGTCCAGCATAAAAACAAAGTAGAATAGTGCTGGAGTTACAGATTGCACAATTCCTCTGCCATCAGCCTGCTGTGTTTGTATGCTAGACAAGCAGGTGCTTGGTCTGCTGCATGTCTAGCACAAACACACAACAGGCTGGTGATAGAAGGAAGGAGCAGCTGCTGCCAACCCCTTCATTTCTATGCGGGACGTTAAATAGGAAGCTTCACCTCCTGGATGTCCAGTAAGAAAATGTAATAGGCTGCTGGAGGAGAGATGGAAGTGTTCTGAGCCATCAGTGGCAACCTCTTTTGATTTCTGTGGTAGGCAGAGAGAAGGTAGTATATACATGCTGCCTAGCACAGAAACCTAGGCTTTCCCTACCCCAGCTGCGAAATACCCTTTTCTACACCCAGCATAGAAATTCAGTGGTACCCTGTCCTCCTTTTGGCAGACTACTTCCCCTTTTGTGCTCATCCTTTTAGTGGAATGAATCTGTCCTTTATATATATATATATTTGTGGATTAGCGTTTTAGATTCTGTTCGTATATTTGGTTTTCATATTTCTTGTTTTTCTAAGTTACTTTGACAATTTTGTGTAAAAAGCAATGAATGAATGAATACATTAAAAATGTAATACAAAAATAAGCAAGTGGCCCAAGCTACAGTGAAGCATAATAATAATTAAAATCAGTATTTTAAAACCCTAAACCCTCTTTTTCTAGTTGGCCTGAGGACAGGTATTTTATTTCTTTTCTTGGTTGATGTAGTTATCAACATTGACCAGCAGATGGCACCAATTAATCATTTTATATTATTTTATTTTATGGGGGGGGGGAATGTACAGGGAAGATATTGTAAATGTATGCTCAAGCTTTTCTGTGTCATCTAACATTTGATATGGCATCTTTAGATAAGAAATGTAACTGTAAGGCTCAAAACACTTTAAAGGTCACACCTGCCCTGAGAATACTTTGCTTCTGAGGGTCAAAGAGCTGGTTCCCAATGTTTACAGAAAATTTGCACATTATCACCTGCTCCTTCCTGTGTTTCTTCATTAGAAGCTGATGTAGGAGACCAGGTTATCCTAGCCATGTGGGAGTCACTCCTCCAAACCCAAAGTGTTCCCACACAGGATGGTGTTTCTTGTCACTAGACCAATCTCAAGAGCTCCATGACTCCTGGATCTCCTTCATAAGAATTCTCTGCTCTTTCAACCCTCTACTTTTCTTCCCACCAAGAGCAGCAGCTGAAACTGTTCTTAGTCCCTGAATGAGACTAAGGCCACACCGATCATCTGCCGCTTGCAGAAGTTGCACCTGTCTTTCAACTTCAGCAGCAGACACATTTGTGAGCATCTGTTGCATCACAGCAATTAAGTCAGTAATATTTTCATTAAAAACCCAATGTCTGAAGAACATTGGTTGGTGAGTAGTTACCCCATGCTGAATTACAGGCCATTACTGTAATAATGAGTGATTAGCGGGGAATGCTTGCTAGAAAACTCTTGAGATTACTACTGACCGCACTGTGGTTCTCTTCATGGTTGATTCTCCTGTCTGTTTCTGTAATTCTGTCCTGTAGGCAAGGATGCGAGCATTGCAAACCATCAGATTCTTAACTGCATGCAATATTTGGTCCTTTTGTGTGCTCACAGCAAGCAGCTTACAAATTCCTTCTCGCATTCTCGTTTCAAAGTCAATTTTCTCTTGAATGCTTCCACCCTAAACACCAAAACACAATGGAGTTGTCAGATAAATCTCAAATGACAGAATTATGATTTATTGGAGGGGAATAAAGGGGAATAAAGTTGGCTAAACCAGGAACAACCCTCATCAGCCTCCTTAGCCAACAGTAAAGTATGGTGGGAACTAGTGTAGTTCATCAACACCTGTAGGGTATCAAGTTAACTTATCCTTATACTAGGAGGTGTAGATTTTTATTTCATATTCAGTTCTGCAATGGGGTTAGAGAAAGATGTTTTCAGTCTACATTCCAAGGATCCTGAAGAAGACGGACCATGAGGGGATATACTTCTCTAAAAGGCAATTTGCCCACTGCCCATTGGCTGTGTTAAGACTCTCAGCCCAAAAGGCCTGGCTAGAGTGCAAGGGGTGACCAGAGTCCTAAAACCAGAGAGCCAGCATCACACAGGGAGCCTATGCCATGGCTCAAGGGATCCTTTGAGGACTACTTGGGTGCAGTAAATTCTGAGGGGCAGGTGCCCTTCCTGACAAGCCTTCTAAGACTGTACCCTGCAAACAAAGGGGGCCTTCATTTCATCGATATGAGTTTCAGCACTAAGTAAGGCAGCTTTGCTTAAGGTGCAGCCTGCCGAAGAGTAAAACGATGGGACTGCTCACTATTGGGTGGCATTCTGGTCGGTCTAAACGGAGGGGCTTTCCTTTATCTGGCGGACACTGGGCCTGCAAAAAAAAAAAAAGAGGGTGGCAGGAGGGGACCCTTCATCCCTTCCCCGTCCCTGCTCCGCTACACCACTGAAAGGGGACAAAAAGTGGTGTGGGGGTGTCCTTGAAGAAAACCCGCCCAAAGCCAAAATCCGGGAGAGTCTCCAAAGCGGGGAGAGTTGAACTTTAATACCTCATCCCTACTCCGTTTCCAAATGTTTAGCTTCTGGGGCTAAAAGGGCGATGGGCGCCCGGTTCCTGCCTTCTCCTGGCGCTTTAGAGACGAAGTCCATGTCGCCTTCTTCTCTCCTCCCCTGCTTAGTATTTACAGTGGTACCTCGGGTTACATACGCTTCAGGTTACATACGCTTCAGGTTACAGACTCCACTAACCCAGAAATAGTGCTTCAGGTTAAGAATTTTGCTTCAGGATGAGGACAGAAATCGTGCAGCAGCGGCGCAGCAGCAGGAGGAGGCCCCATTAGCTAAAGTGGTGCTTCAGGTTAAGAACAGTTTCAGGTTAAGAATGGACCTCCGGAACGAATTAAGTCCTTAACCCGAGGTACCACTGTACTTGATACAGCATGCAAGGAGGACGGGAAGGAGAGAGAAAGAGAGACAAACCTCCAAAATAACAGCAACGCGCGTTTGCTCTCCGCCCCCCCAAAAAGGCGGGGAGGCGAACGGCCTCTGCTGCTCACCTGGTCCTCCTTCACCTGCTGCTCGTCGGCAGCGCGGCCTGCTCGGCACCGCCTCATCGCCTTTCCCGCCTCGGCTATGGCCTCCTCAGAGCCGCCGCAGTTCAAACTTCCCGCTCCGCCTCCTTCGCCGCTGCTCCGGCCCAACGGCAGCGCGGGGCCCGCCTTTTCCTCCGCCTCCTTCTCGTCCCGCCTCGGCCGCGGCTCCTCGTCAGAAGGCTGCGCTCGCCTGGCGGCCCTTGAGGCGAATGGCTGCCTAGCGTCGCGTTGTTGTTCAGGCGCCTGTTCAGCCAACAGCCCCCGCTTTGCTTTATAGCCAGGACTGACCTCCGTAGATAGAAGCCCTGTTCGCTCACGTTCAGCTCTCTTGACTGAAATAGGTTGTGGGAAACAATGAAGAGAGGGCGCCGCGGAGCATGTGCAGAATGTTCTTCCTCCAACCAGCGCCACGAAGTAGCCGCCGTGCCACTGCTAGCTATAATCATAATCATTTTAAATTATGTTTTCCTCGTCCACTTCACTGGGTTGCCCCAGCCACTCTGGGCGGCTTATACAGTATAAAAGCATAATAAAACATCACACATTAAAAAGCTATACGGGGCTGCCTTCAGCTCGGCTAGTACTGCCTGGGACTTCGCTTCAGGAGCACAGCTTGCCAGGGCTCAATGAATGGCACTGTGTTGCCTGGTGCCCTCCAGATGTTGTGAACTATAGTTTCCAAAAGTCCCAGCCAGCATTGCCAGTGATCAGGGGTGGGTGGGAGTTGTCCAAAACATCTGGAGGGCCCCCAGACCTATCTCCCAGGATGTGTGGATAAAAGGGAGAGCCAGGTACACTGCTTTGGACTCCTTCGAAGGCAGGTTATAAATGTAGCCAATGCCCACATACTGGTTTTCATTCTCTTTTCTGAGTGCAATTCACAGTGCCAATCCTTGTTTTTAAAGCCCCTAAAGGGCTTGGGACCTGAGGAACTGCTTATATACACATATGCCTGTGTGCAGCCGTGCACTGCTATCATCCAGAGACCCTTCTAGTCCCTTTGGCATCTGAAATGAGACAAGTTAGTCTTCTAGGTTCCTGTTTGTGCAGTGCTCCCCTGAGGCCAGTTTGGCCACCAATCTGATGTCTTTTAGGGGCTGGGCGAATAACTTTTTCATTTCGCCAGATTTTATCACCACTTACCATCTGATGGAGTTTTAGCTTCTACAAGGATTCCATTGGGATTGCCTTTGGATGTTACCTCACCGATCTTTGTCGTTTTATTACTACACGCTTAATGCAATTTGTTATGCAATGTTTTTGAGGGGTTTTTTTTGCTGAAGGGCAGTACAGAAAACATATTTTAACTGTGAGTGTGCTGCCCTGTACCACAGATTTTCCTTGACCCATTGCACCTTCGGAGACCCCCAAATACAGTTGTGAGGTGTATCTGGTTTAGGAGGTATTGCAATGAGAAAAGGCTCGTCTGCCTAATATATACTTCTCCATAGAGCTGTTTGACACACTAAAGCCTTGTCACAAAAAATAGCCACTTTGGCTGTCATCCTATGCACATTTACACAGGAGTAAGGCCAATAGAACACAGTTGCACTTTTCAGCAATCTTAACCGTGCCATCTTTTTGATTAGAAATACAATATGAAGATATTGAGAGGGCTTGAATGTTTTTAGGACTGCAGTTCTAAACTTCCCTAAGCTGGGAGCTATGCTTACTGAAGTCAGTGTGACCTATTTGCAAATAAACGTATAGGAGCAAGTGAAACATAGTAAATCATTTGACTAAAGTTTTGGCCAGGTACTACCGGTATATAGCAAACTGATATTCTTACACACACACACAGCAGCAGCCACACATACTGCGTTGTTGGAGCTGGAAGCAAACATCTGTAATAAAAAAAGATCCTGGGAAATAAGCCTGGGAAACCTGGTACATCTAATAAGGCAAATTATGAGAAGGCAGTTTATTAACCGCACCAAACAGAAGAGAGAAAAGGCACTGAAACTGAAAAATCACAACCTGTTTGTCCATAACACTCTGTAAAATTTGTTACGGTATATAGAACTGTGGGTGCTGTGTGGGTCACAAAGGTAAATATTGTTCAAACGTTTCTGTGTCATATTAACTTTTCTGATCTTTAAACATTTAGCTTGATTAAAAATTGAGCTCAGTTAAACAGAGCAGTCAAATCTATATATATATTTCCAGGGCAACAAATCTATATACTGTGATGGCAACCATCTTCAGTGGCTTTAAGAGGGAATGGCTACTAGTCATTATGGTGAGGGACCTCCATACACACTGCCCAGGCTTCAGTGCTGGATTTATGTATAGGCTAAGTAGGCTGAAGTCTAGGGCCTCTAAATCTAGGTGGCCTTGCCAGCCAGCCCGCTCCCCAGCGGGCAGTCTCCCCTCTCCCAAAATTGCAAACCCAAGACTTCATGTGAGGGCAGGGCAACTCGGGCCTGTCAGGCTTGTGCCCTAGATCTCTGCAGCTACAGCAGGCACTGTCTCTCAAACACCAACAAACACCCCCTTTCTCTTTGATGGGAGGTGTAGCGCCTCTGAATAAAAGACATTGGGGAACAATGGCGGGAAAGGGCAGTTGCCCCATGTCCTGCTTGTGCGCTTCCCAGAGGCATCTAATTGGCCACTAGAAGAAGCAGGAGGCTGGACTGGATAGGCCTCAGGTCTCATCCTGTAGGACACTTCTGAGTTCTTATGACTGCTCCAGAAAACTAATTTCAGCCTCCTGAGGATTAGACGCAAAAAGACCAGCCCTTTTTGATGGGAAAGATGGAACACGGAGAGAGCAGAAATAGACAAGCATAACTCTGTGGGCGTTATCAAAAATTTGTCAAAAGAGAGTAATAAATCATTACTAAAGAATTTTTTAAATTGTAATGACAGCCATATGTACATGGAAATTTATTTTCTCATTATTAATCCATCAGTACTCAATCAGGCAAACTTTCATTGCTTTGTATTTTCCCCAGGGTACATTTATCTGGAAGCTGTTGAGAAGCTGTCAGAAGATAGGAACAGTATAGAGAAAACCAGTATTAAAATTTACAACCGTTTATTTTGTTGCTGAAAAACTCCAGGTTTTTTTGAGTTTTGTTTTTGCTTCCTGCCTTATTAAAATGCCACAGGACTGTTCTTTGGCTGCTTCTATAAACTGATGTGTGTTGTGAATAAAGGCATAATACGATGCTTTGTACATTTGTGTAATGGGAATGCCATAACGAGACAAAATACACCCCAAAGTGAACATGCAATGCCAGGCCTTCATTAAGGAGACATTGCTAGTGCAGTTGTATGCATGTCTACTCAAAAGTACATCTCACTGAGTTCAATGGTGTTTACCATTAAGTGGGGTACATGATTGCAGACTCACCTGACCTGTGGATGACTCCCATTGAATTCAGTGTGGGTTTACTGATTGCACTGTAAGCCTATAATACTTTATTCCAAGTAGATGGATTCTGAATCATAAAAATAACTGGCATTTTTTAAGAATGGCATTTCTGGACATCTTGATTTCTGCATAATAAAAACATTTGCTGTGATATTGATGCCCAAATGTTAGTCTTATTTACAATCTGTGGTTTGTGTTTACTCATTCTGAACGCAGATACATCACTAGTTACCGGTACTTTAATGATGTCTCTGTGCTTGCCCTATGGGAGAAGAGTCTCCTGCTCTTCCCTCCAAACTACTGCTTTTAATGCATAATATTTTCCTGCGCTGGAGCTGCTGAAGTCACCATTGTTCAGGAGCTGGCAACCCCAGTGATCTGCACACATAAGAGCAAAAAAACAACAGTACAAAAACATTTGAAAATCCTTCATTCTCCTCACACCTGCCCCAATTGATAATGTATATTTTATAAGTTAGTTAGATAATTACTTATTATTTATTGTATAACCTGCATCATGTCAAGGGCCCAGGGTGGATAACAATATTAATTTTTGAAGTCCAATTACAAAATATTAAGCATTGTCTCAAGGGCCTAGGGTGGATAACAATATTAATTTTAAAAACTCCAGTTACAAAATATTAAGCACCATCTCAATGGCCCAGGGTGGATAACAATATTAATGCTTAAAAGTCCAATTACAAAATATTAATCCCACTTGTTGCTTTATTCTTCTACAGATGTGAAGGCCTGGGGGGAAAATTGAAAAATAGGTGAGGAAACCACTGCCTCCCCCATGTTTCTTCTCTCCCTATTTGTTTCTGAAAAGATGTGGGTGGAGTGGAGCTGTTCCCCCACCCATCCATTGAATCTTCCCAATCCCCAGGTCTTCACATCTCTGTTCCTCCCTAATCTCCAGCCACCCAAACCCAATCTGAACAAAGGTGACCTACACCACTTTTAGTACAGTAGATGGCCACATTCCGCTTTTGATGAATCAGAGGAGCAGAATTGTGAAGCTGAGGGGCAATCACCAAAGATGATTGAAATATACTCGGAGTCGAGTGTGAATTTCATGCTCTTTATTCAGCTCGTAGTAGCAATGAATAAAACTTTCCCCAAAACATCTAGCTATATATACATTATTTACACAATGGGCCCTGCGTGATTGGCTAATTCTGGGCTGCTCCTGCAGGCCAATCAGGTTGCTGATTCACTTCCACCTGGAGCTGGATTGGGTGGCTCCTGCAGACCAATCAGACTGCTGCATTCTGGATCCTATTGTTCTAAGATTCAGCTCAGTACATAACAATACAGTGGTACCTCTGGTTGCGAATAGGATCCATTCCAGAGCCCCCTTCGCATCCAGAAGCGAACGCAACCCGCGTCCATGGGTCACAATTTCCCGCTTCTGCGCATGCGCGTGACGCCATTTTGACCGTCTTCGCATGCGCAAGCGGCAAAACCCGGAAGTAACGTGTTCCGTTACTTCCGGGTCGCTGCAGCGCGCAATCCGAAAATACTTATCCCGAAGCTGCTTCAACCCGAGGTATGACTGTAATATATTTTCCCTTGTGGTCTTGGCTCAGAGCACAGATGGCAGACATGATGAGACAACATTCTTGATTGATCTTGGGAGCAGGAGTGAAATTAGGCTTTATTTCACCTGGGTCCAAGACCAAGTTTGACACCCCCACACCCTCCCACACACATTTGCGTTCACACACACACAGTCTGAGAGCCTCAATGGCGCCCGTCTGGAGGCTTCACCCAGGGCGGAAAAACCCCTGGTTGGCTCCCCCATAGCTACGGCACTCTTCATGGGTCATCATACTGGGGGGCATAGAAGTTCTAACTACAGATTTAAGCCCATCCCCAACTCTTTATTATGGGCCGAAACCAGCAGGGCTAGTTTAGTCTAACTA